GTGGGGATGGAAATTCCCTTTTTTTTCCTAAAGAAAAGGGTGATGGCCTTGAGCTATCATTGGCGAACTGACCTGCCCCAGTTAGTTAGTTCCGTTCTGATACGAGCAGCCGACTTCACGCGAGTGGAACGTATCGTCATTATCACTGTATCTACTCCAAAATGTTGGCCAAGTGCAGACATAAATAACTTTCGTTCTATTTGGTTGAAGGCTGTATATCTTCTTTAACAGTTCTTGTGGGGACGTATCAGCTTGGCTAGTCCTGGTGATGTGTCTTTTTCTTTTCGAAGGGTAGATGGAAAGGACAGTCCGAATGTGCCTTTTCTGTGGCAGAGAGGCTATGTAACATTTTACGTGTCGCTGAACTGCAAAGGGACGGGATATGTTCAGACTGAGCAACACTTTCTCATGAATAGGGACTGCTACCAGCTCAAGATCCGTACACTTATAAAAATCGCTAACGCGAGAAATTTGCAATCCGGGCGATCCCGACGGTCCGGATTGTCGCTCAATCTTAAGACTTTAAGATCGCGCGATGATCCAGGCCGTCCATGGTCCTACTGACCTGAAGATTCAGATCGTCGTGCGATCTTAAAATTTAAGATCGCGCGACGATCTGGGCCATCGGCCAGGTACCAGTTGGCCAACGGCCCAGATTAGGAGTTTGCAGCACAACCGAAGTTAGGGCTGCCTAGCGTGGGGAGAAACTGGTTCCAGGCAGGCCAGTCTCCTATAGGGCGCAGCGGTTCGCCCCCCGCGCATATCTTTTGCGGCGCGCGGAGCCGGTGTATAGTGAATGAGACAACTCTCACTCACACGGCCGCACTCCTGCCCGCTCGAACAAGTACATGCACAAACACATGCACATGCACGCACACACGCACGCAAATGCATCATGGGCAAACTGTCGGGGTTTAACCTCCTGATGAGTTGGTGAAAGTTGAGTGGAACAGTCTCTCTGGCACACTCGTGCTTTTTTTGGGGGGTTCACACAAACACAAACTGTGGGTGGGTGGATGTGTGCGCATGAGAGAGAGAGAGAGAGAGAGAGAGAGAGAGAGAGAGAGAGAGAGAGAGAGAGGTTTTCTGCATCACCTGTTGTGTTTGTTTTTGCGAGTGAAGGCGCAACAGGTCATCTAGTACATTTAGAATGTTGTGCAGCAGGGCGAGGCCCAGAGTCAATGAGAGTGGTAATATACTGATGTGTGGTAGAGTGAAGACGATGTTTGGGAAACATCGTTTTGGGGGGTGTTTGACCCCCATGAGGACATCTGCTGTCTTTTCAGGATTGAAGGACAGAAGGGGCCTGGCTTTAAAGGCTTAAAGCACCAGTACATGGGCACCTGGGCCGCGGGCCTGACACCTCAAATTCTGGGGGCGCGAAACGAAACTGTGACCGCCGATCTAATTTATCAATGGCGGGCGCGGCGTTTGACATTTTGGCCTCATTTTTTTGTGGTGACAAGTTTCGGACTGCAAGGCTGGGGCCGTGTACTGGTGGTGTTGTTGGTTTTTCTTTTTTTTTTTTCTTTTTTTTTTTTTTTTGGTGAAAAGCCCTTGCGTAAGCCCTCTATCCCGGTGGTGGTGAGAGAACCGTCAAAAAACTGAGGGCTTATCTGTCGGGGTGCTCCGTCTATTGGTGGTTTAACATGGCTCTC